TCCTTAATATAAATATAGTAGAATATACCCTAAAAGCCCTATTCTAATTATGAAGGCTCCTAGATTATGGTTTTCAGCCTCTTGAGCTTTGCACTTTGGCTTCCACAGGCAGCCTCGGGCAGATGCCAGACAAAGAGCTTCGCAGAGAGCCCAATACCCCTCAATTAGGGACTATGGGAGTTTCCGAAAATTAGGGGTACCTTATTTTGGGGTCCTTATAATAAGGATCCTATTATTTGGGGTACTATACCGGGGTCCCCTATGTTCGGAAACCCCCATATACCTTAAATCATAATATTAAGGCCCCTATAATTTAAGGTATACTCCCTATTTAAGGGTCAAAGTGGGCTCTCTGAGTTTCTGTTGAAGAACCCCTGCAGGAGTGCCGGAAGTTCTCTGGCGAGCTGCTTGCCACTAATGTGGACCATTTTCTTCGGGCAGGGTGCTTCTCCTTTCACCTGGCTTGCCGCCCCTGGCTGCGAAGGTACCGCCGGCAGTCTTGCATGCCCCCAGTCCCAAGGAGTGCCAGTTTTGTGAAGCTGAATCCCAGAAGTCCTGCCAACAGGGTTTGGGGTTTAGGGTTTAGGTTTTAGGGTTTAGGGTTTTAGGGTTTAGGGTTTAGGGTTTAGGTTTTAGGGTTTAGGGTTTTAGGGTTTAGGGTTTAGGTTCTCTCAGAACTTTCTGCATCCCCGCCCTGCCCGAGCTCAGGCATGCTTTCGTTGAGTTCATTCGCGAGAAGGCCCTCATGCCCGCTTGAGTGCGTCACACAGTGACATAGCCGATAGCTCTTCGCAACTAGGAGTAGGGCTCCCTTTGATATCCTTGCTTCAATTCCTGACATGTAGACCGACACCATTTCCCTGGACTCCACCGAACAGGTTGAAGCAAGTCGGGCCTCGAATTTGCCTTCGGGCTGGGCATATTGCTAGCAAGCACGCATATCTTTCGAGCCTCCTCTGCCTGGCAAAGCGTTAAGAACCAGGGGTGCTGTAGTGCTGTGTCCCGATCCCTGCCAGAAGACCAGCCGTGGCCCGAATGCACATGGGTAGTTTTCCAAAATAGGGTCCTTTTATATAAGGGTGCCGTACTACTTGGAGGATCATGGGACTTAGTAACTATGGTTATAAATAGGGTAACTATAATTATAACCCCAATTAGGGTACTTATAACCTTACTTACTAAGTCCCATGATCCTCCAAGTATGCTGGGGACCCAACAAGGGACCCTTATTCAGAGAACTACCCACATCATCTTGGGGCTCTCTCGTCCGGACCTTTCAGCTGCCTTTTGCGACGACCGTTGGTTGTTGGAGGATCATGGGACTTAGTAAGTGAGGCTATAAGTACCCCTAATTGGGGGTTATACTTATAGCTACCTTATTTATAACCCTAGTTACTAAGTCCCATGATGCTTCAGCAATTTCGGGTCGGTTCCAGTTTCCAAAGACGCAATCCCTCTCTCCAGAGCCCCAAACTCGATAGACTTCTGCATCTCTTCACGACAACTCCTGTAAGACCGCCTAGGGTCCTATGCATGTTATGCACTGCGTGCAAAATCCTGGGGTCCTTCGCCGCTCGGGTGCGTGTTACTGGCGCTGAAGCATCCGCATCTGTTCAACATGCCTGCCGGGGCTTGCGCGAAAGCAGCGGAAGCCACTGATGAAGTCTCGGGGTGTATTCAAGCACTGGCAGAGTGATGTAACGAATCTATTGACATGTCGATGGTACATCATCCATTTGCTCAAGCCTCATTCTCCTATATCCGAGCTAGCAGAAAGCCTCTCATCCATGCTAAATAATTGAGCAGCAGCATGACTTTAGCTTCAACTCTTGCTTCGGACACGCCTTTCGAGCCAATAGCAGTTTTCATGCTCAAGAATCCACCCTGAGGGGTTCAAACGATGCAGAGAGGAGCAAGTTTGGAGCAGGATGACCGGGGCGGCGGAGTGGAAAAAGCCTGCAAGCCTGCGTGCAGCGAAGGTCTTGTTCATGCACGGAAGTTCTTCAAGAAGCCAACGACAACTTCTGAAGTCATTCTGTCGCTTGCTCTCGCTCTCCCGCTTTCTCTTTGGTCTGCGTTTCCGTCTCCGAATCTTGATGGCTGTCACTCACTCACTCCCCACTCGCTCTCTCTCTCTCTCTCTCAATCTCTCTCCCTGGCTCGCTCTGCCTTTCTGTGGTTGGCTCTACAATATTCTGTGCCGCTTGTACCCTGTCGTCTGTCCTGTCTACGCTCGTTTCGTTCTGTCAGGCTTTGTGACGGACTAAGCAACGATGAGCATGATGGCGATGTCATGTGATGTCGATGATGAGGGTGATAATGCTCGTGCTAATGATGGCTGACCCACCACATCAAGCACAGTCCCGTTCTGGTTCTTCAGTTGTGAGAAAAGGGAGAACATGACAGGCACCGTGAATGCTCGCTGAAGTGGACATCGGAACCTTTTGCTCCGCACATCCGAACCTTCATGGGTTTCCCCAGCTCGGCCAGAGGTGCTTGGACAACAGCAAGACTGGCAAGATCGTGGGGGCCATCGCCTTGATCACCTTATGCCCAAGGCAGCTTAGGCATGTAAGGAAACAGACAAAGAATGTTTCCAGTTGCTGACAGCCGCACTTGTCGCCGAAATTGATCTTCAGATGGAACTGTTGACATCGCTGTCTCGTTCGGAGAGATGGCTTTGCGAAAAGCCGGGGCATGTCATTCGTCTGGCGTCGATGACGACGAGCCGAGGTGTAAGGTACGAGACGGACACAAGAGTCGAAGCTTTGATCCACGTGTTGTATTACGAAGGAGCCCATCCACGCAGAGCGTGCTGCCCAGGCGCTGAACCAGAGCACGGGTGCTGCTTTCCCTTGGTGGCACCCTCAGTGCTGGCCAGGGCAGGGGGGAGGGAGAGCCCTGCGAATTCCTGGTTCCAGACTCTTCCAGAGTCTTCTTGGAGGAGGTCGGCCTTGAGGGACCTTGAAAAAGGGGCTGAAGCTTAAAAAAAAAAAAGCGACTGTGCTTATGCTCTGCCCTGATGTTCAGATTGCATTCCTGCCAATGGTGCAAACTCTCCTTCGCAGAGAAGAGGAAGTTTAAAAGCTTCTCTACTTGGAGGATCATGGGACTTAGTAACTAGGGTTATCAGTAAGGTAACTATAACTATAACCCCCAATTAGGGTACTTATAACCTCACTTACTAAGTCCCATGATCCTCCAAGTATTCCTGACCCGACATGGTAAGGGCATTGGTTCCACGAGCTCTTGACACAAAGGACTTGTACATGAACCCGGGAGGGCAAGTAGTTTCCGGAGAAAAGGCGGAAAGCCCAGATCCTCCACTCTCCGGGTGCCTCTTCATCCGATCCGTCACAGTCCTTGAAGGGTTCTTGGAGGATCATGGAACTTCGTAACTAGGGTTATAAATAAGGTAACTATAATTATGATCCCAATTAGGAGAACTTATAACGGTACTTACTAAGTCCCATGATCCTCCAAGTTCTTCCATGATAGCACAAAAAATATCTACTTGGAGGTTCATGTGTAGTTATAAGTACGGTAGCCATAGTTACAACCCATATTAGGGGATTTATAACCCCACGGGCACCGAGGTGGGCCTGGCTCTTCATCGGCCTGCTCGTGGCCGTGGGCGGCCTCCTCTGCCTTGCCTGCCTCTGTCGACCCGGCACGTCTTCCCAGAGAGCGCATCTTACCCCTAAATAGGGAATCTACCTTAGATTATAGGGGCCTTAATATTATGATTTAAGGTATCTTCCCTAATTAAGGGGTATTGGGCTCTCTGGGTTCGTCGGAGGCCTGGGCGTCTGAGGGCTGTCGCTCTCTGGAGGCTGTCGGGGTTCAAGCTGCTATATGAGCTCCGTACGAGCTGAAGATCATAATCATGTTCGGGTGTCATTGTGGAAACCTGAGCAGCAGGCAAGCGAGTATGGCAGGGACATGTCGGAATGGAGAGGGCTCTGGACGATGAACCCTTCGCAAGCAAGGTGCGCACGAGCGCAAAGACCCGCCCCTGTGGCAACTCCCGGCGAGACTGTGAGAGAGCACAGAGCAAGCAGTGAAACGATGCTGCGCTGGCAGGTGCCGTGAAGTGGGCGGCGCGAAAAGTGCGAGAAAGTGTGAGAGACGGGGATGAAACCTGAGACCCGGGGACCATAATTTTAGAACCCTAGAGTACCCTTTTACTTATCATAGAGCCCTATGGAGGGCCCCGAGCCGCCCCAGCGCCAGGCTGCACGCAGAACAAGCGCGGCAAGCGCTCCAAGAGGCTCGACGAGGTGCCAAGCTCTTGCAGAGCTGAAGCATACCATGGGGGGGGGGGGGGNNGGGTTTAGGGTTTAGGGTTAAACACTTGCCAAGACAATCTTGGGTTCCTTATTCCTTCTTAGATTTCTAGTAGAGTGTACCCCAAAACCTTATTCTAATTCGTTAAGGCCCCTATATCCTAAACCCTTATAGTATCCCTTATAGAACCCCTTATTAGGAACCCTTTAAAGGAACCCCAAATAACCCCTGTTCTAATTCTTAAGGCGCCTATATTGGGGCTCAGGACCAGGCTATGGGCTTCCGTAAGAGCTGCAGACTTCAGAAGGCTGGGCTCAGGCTTCGACTTCGGGGTCCCCAGAGAGCCCAACTTACCCGGTAAAATAAGAAATAGACCTTAAATGGTAGGGGCCCTTTAAAGGGATCTATAAGGGTTTGGGTTTTAGGGTTTAGGAATATACCTTAAATGATAGGGGCCTTAATATTAGGACTTAGGGTATATTCCATAATTAATGGGTGTTGGGCTCTCTGGGTCGTTTCTGCTTCAGCGAGAGTCGCGGAAGTTGGTGGGCGCTCGAGCCCTGCCTTCGGACTCGGTCGCAGTCAAGCGATGTCAGAAGTAAGATCTCAAGCTCCGAAACCTCCAAAGTCCCCCTGCCAAAGACTTGAGCCCGAGCCTAATGCCTTGACCTAATACGCCCTAAAGCCTAAACCCTAAACCCTACACCTTGAGCCCGAGCCTTATACTACCTACAGAGTCCCTTGACCTAATACGCCAGAAGTCACGAGACATCGAAGCCGCCGCAGCCAGCGCTCGCAGCTCAGATCTGCCCAGATGCGATGAGACCCATGGCTTCCATTAGCTTCCGTGGTTCAACGGACACTACTTGGAGGATCATGGGACTGAGTAAGTAAGGGTATAAGTACCCTAGTAGGGGTTATAATTATAGTTGCCTCATTTATAGCCCTTAGTTACTGACTCCCATGATCTTCCAAGTATATCGAAGCCCTACAAGGCTAGGTTCTCAGACTTGAGACTCGCTGCCTTGCAGCTGAAGCCGCATCCGAGGCTGAGGCCCGTGTCCCTTTGACGGCCGCGGCAGCTTCGAATAACCAAAAGGTGGGGCACTCATGGGGATTTCTGAAAATAGGGGACCCTAATATAGCACCCTACATAATAGGATCCCTATTATAAGGACCCCAAAATAGGGTACCCTAATTTTCTGAAACTCCCTCATAGCAACTGCGTGATGTTGACTTGGCCTGAAAGACTGGCTGCTCCTCTAGGTTTGACACAGGGTTGCATGAGCGGTCCCTCGCATTGCTGGCAAAGTTGTTGAAACTCTTTCCCCCTAACTATGATACCTCAAACTCTGCTTGTTGCAGCTGAGACCGATCGGTGAGAGTGAAAGTGGAGATCTCCGTTAAAAGGACAAGACATATAAAGCCTACCTCAGCCCTTGTCCGGGGTGACTGAGGACCTCTTCGACA